TGTTGTTTTCTTTGGGTTATATAATTTACAGTTTAAAAACTCTGCCGTTTATAGGGCCCTATGATTTCCATGTTCAAGGAAACACAGATGGAATTGTGCAATTTAGCATATTAAAGGTATCTAGCTAAAAACGCAGAATCTTAGAGGATTTTCCCATATTGAGGTATTTTGTCCACTGCTATCTCCTTTATCTGCTTTCAGCTGTTTTTGCAGGGCAGGCTCAGGTCGGCCATGTTGAAGAGGCAAGTACAAATACTGAAATCCTCTAAAAAAAAAAAAAAACAAAACTTAGAGGGCAAAAGAGTTTTTTTTTTTTCTCAAAGTTTTTTTTCTCTATTTTTCCTGCAATTTTTATCAGTAAAGCAATCGACCGGACACATATGAATCCATGTTGTGACCACTTACAGTCAGTTGTATCAGAAACTGGGATAAGCAGCTAGCTAGTGCGACCCGGATGCCTGCAAGGTGTTAATCTACATCAGAACAAGCAGGGCATGAGATTGTTTAGCACATTACCTTTTTTTTGTACCTTAAAAAAGACAGGTAAATATTACTGTAAATTTTTCACTGTTGGAAGAAGTAAAAACAAGTGTGGATTCCTTTTTAAAAGGCAAATTTAGACAGTGTTGTAGATTTTTATTTCTTAAGACATTTTTATGTACATCTATAAAGCACTTTTATGAAAGGAAACCTTCTTTTAATGTGAGATTAAATGTCTTGCTCATAAAAAGTATTTGTTTGTAAAAAAGGACTGTACATACTTTTAAGTATGTTGCTAAAACATCTAATATTCTGTTGAACCACGTCAATTAGTTTTATTTGTTAAAAAAAAAATTACATTTTTGGTTGTTTGTTAAATATTTTTCAGTCTCTTTATAATGGTGTAAAATCCAGCAAAATTCAGGAAAATACAAATGGAAAAAGTGAAATTTCGGCAAAAAATAAAATTGATTTCATAGGGCTAGTCATCTTGCTTTGTACACATCCGTAAATGTTGCCTTTTTCTCCAAGACTCTGAGAGCTTTGTGTCATCAGAAATGATGCACTCATTGTCTGAGACACATGCATGCAGAGGAGATTTTCCCCCAAAAGAGTAGTTATGTACAAACAAAACTCCCCTCAATCAACTAAATATAAAATTGAGGCCTTCCACTGTACTCCCCCAACATTAGAAAAATGACATTCTCCTGACTCATGGTTTCAGTTTTGACGTTTCTCAAGCTTAAAATGCTCGGAGCAGTAACATCCACACATTCACAGCCTGAGAGCCTGCAGCCCTGCGACACTGTACAATCCAGCATGCACCATGCCTCTGCAGTAGTCAAAGATGATTCCCGAGCCTTAGTGGGTAATATAGAATGAAGGGAATTCACCCCAAATAGAACAAAACTCCCCCTGAGGATAGGGAGAGGGAACAGTTTTTATTTGGTTACGGCTGAGACATGGCTCCAACTCTCTCCTCTATCTGTAACCTTACTGCTGCAGCATAATAACAGTTTATGGATGATGGTACGGGGAGGTTGTCTGGAGTAATTTAATGAAGCTGAGGTTGTCGGTTTATCCGGTGAATGAAGCCAGATATGGCTCCATAGGCAAATAATTAGACTAGTCATGATATTTTTCACTTTATTATCCGAGTAGGGGAGCATTGTTTGTATTTATCATTATACTGTGAAGATAAATCATTTTTGTTTTTAAATTATTTGATTTCACTCATTAAGCTCTGGTTCCTGCTGGCAGCTCTCGATGAGAAGTCCCCCTTCCCTTTGACCTTGCTTCAGTCCCCTTTTTAACTTGTTTGCATCATAGAGGCCTGTTTTGTTTTTTTTAATGGTGCCCTCATTGTATCTGCCTCTCTTCTGCCTGGCTCTAATTGGAATACAGCACTGACATTTATGCTCTTTCACTGTGACATGGTTGTCTTTCTACAGCCTATTAGTTGAGAATTATTTTTTTCAATTCACCAGTCCTGTTTGTGCTGCTCTGGGCTCTTCTTTGTAGAAACAGTTCTGTTGTATTGTCCTTTGTCAATTATATACAATTATAATGAAGCCTTGGCATGAATAGGCTTTATCCAAAAGAAGCCACCAGCAGCCTTCTTACGCATTTTCAAAGTATGAAATTTGGTGTTTACAAAAGTGTGAAATTTTTTCCCTGTCCCATTGTATTTGTTTGTTTTCTGTCCATCAAACTGTCAATTCACCGAGCCGCTGACGTCATACCAATAAAGGGCCAAAACAGCTGGCCAAATGATGGTATTTAAAAAAAAAAATGGGCCCTGTATTTAGAGCATATATTTAAGTACAAAGAGAATAAAATGGAGAAACAGAACTATTCTTTAGACTTTAGTTTTTACACAGTTTGTTACACTCTTTTAAGAACAAAATCTATAAAGTTAAAGCTCAGGGCAATGTGAAATCTTCAAAGCTCCTTCCATCAAGTCGCTGCAACTGATTAGTTGAAGTACTCCAACATTCAGGAGTGGGCAAACCTGGTCCTCAGGGACTCCTGATGTGCAGGTTTGTTTCTCTGCTCCAAAACTCCTGAGTGAAATGGATGTATTATCTCCCCTGCATGTGACAAAGTTCTGCGGGGGGTTGCTAATGACCCATTCATTGAAGTCAGACATGTTCAGTTAGAAAAAATTTCCAGAACAGTGAGGATATACACCCTTGAGGCTGGGATTTGCTCACCCTGAACTATCTGAAACTGACTTTATGAATCACCTTTTGGCTGAGCGTTGAGGGATTTCCACTCTGTATGTGTGAGAGCAGCTCTAGGAATTAACATTTTGCTGATTCAGCTCGAGAATGTGGATAGTAAGGAACTGATTGAATAAGGAAGGCACAAACACATTTAACTCATAATTTAATAAATCCAGCAAAGGCCAGTAACATAATTCTGTTCTTTTGCAGCTCTGCCATGTCAAGCGACAAAGTATCAGAAAGATTTCTGCCTCTCAAATGCTGCCTTTTAGAGTTTTTATTCCAGAAACTCTCCTCTTGAAGACAGTAATTGATCCCTAAACATTTATTGATCCAGACAAATTTCCTTCCTCTTCTTTTGTCTCCATGTCAGTTTGCCCTCCATTTCTTACCCACATTTTGCCCTCCCGTCCCTCCTAGTTTTATTTAGGAGGGATCTAAGGACAATCTTGTGCCTTCTGTATTCTTCTCATGTTGGTCCTTTTTAATTAGAGTGGCAAGAAAAAAATGGGCTGTGTATAAGAATTAAATTACAATTGCACATTTATCACAAAGGGATTGAAAGAACTGTAACACAAGAATATCAAAGCTAGCTAAATAAACATTTATATTTATCCATAAACATGTTCAAATATGTATTTTAGATAAATGAAACACTCAAGTTATGGCCACAATTGCAAAAGGTATGTTTGGGAGAAAAATCCATACATAGCCTGACACAAGGTGCTGGGGACATCTTGCTCAAGTTAAACCTTAGTCTCAGTGAATTCGGAGGTGATAATAAACGGTTTCAAATATCAGTTTGTGATTTCATAAAACCTGCATGGTTCTAGTAGTTTGTAGAGGAGGAGCGTTGTCTTTAAGTGAACAAATGATGGCTCATGCAGAAGAGTAGAGTCTTGAACTGGGCCAGTTGGTCTACAAACGGACTGACTGAAGCTCTATAGGCTCAGGAGATTCCCTCAGTCTTTTGCAAGAAAAAGTACTTTCTCATCTTTCCTAAATAAGATATGCAGTGCTGTTGGACCAAACAACTTTATTTATTTTATCTATCTCCTTGTTGGAAATAAGTGAGGGGTGCACCCTGGACTTGTTGGTATTGGCATAAGAACTAATGTTCAGTGTTCTTTGAAATTCAATTCAGTTCAATTAAGTTTATTTATATGGCACCAATTCACAACACGTGTCATCTCAGGGCACTTTACAGAGACAATTTAACCAGATCATACAGCCAAATTTATTCAGTTTTCTATCTAAAGAAAACCAGTTGATTGCATCGACTCAGTTGACTCAGCCAGTCTCAGTCAGAGAAACAGGACTAGACTGAAAAACAGGCCAAGCTCCAACATCTATAAACAACTGTGTTTATGGCAGCAGCACAGCTGACATGATGAAAAAGGGTCCCTATGTCCTCCAGCATTCTAATCCTATAGTTGCATAACCTGAGCCACTCTAACTATAAGCTTTATCAAAATGGAAAGTTTTGAGCCTACCCAGAAATTGTAAATAAGTACTTGGAATATATGCTTGTCATGCAGTTGTTCAAGGTGAAGTGTCTGCCTGTTTGTGTCAGTGTGCATGATAGCTTTGTATTCACTGATTGCAAGTTTTATCTGTGTTGAGAGCAGGGGTAGTAGGCCTGTTTGAGTGAAGTGGTGTTTGTATGAGCTGCTGTCACTCACATTTTAATATTTCATTGAGTTCATGGTCCTGTTTCTGCCATGTGACTGAAAGAACAAAAGCAGAGTAAACAAACTGAAAGCAACCGCTTTGATGTGTTTAACTGTGTCCAATAGACTATTTTTACTGTTTAGAGTGGAAAATTCAATACGCCTTAAGTTTTAATATTTTGTCACTGACCGCTATGAACCTAAGTATATCTTTTTAGAAGCTTACACAATAGAACAACCCAAGTTAGTGAATTATTGTGAAGAAAGAAGAGTGATTTCAGTCAGAAAATATTCAATTGAAATCTAAATTGTTGCATGCTTTTATGATGACCACCATTAAAGGTTTATATCTACATGTTTTTCTGAGACTCCCCCTATAACTTTAGCACCAACATTGCGCACAAGTAGCATTAATTAAAAAAAGTGACTCGGGAATACACTTCATATTTTTATTTGGAGCCCTGCATATTGTACTTTTGTGTCTCTCTTTCTCTCAAATCAGATCTGCAGCTGCTTTTCAAAGCTATCAACCTTTAAAAGTGCAATTTGAGTTGTTTCTCCCCTTCTAACTTTCTCTCTTCTTTTCAACCCCCCTTTCCCTCCCCACCCCTCAATCTGTATTCAGGAGAAGAACAAGGACAAAGACAAACGATTCCGTCCTCTGTATGACATCCCATACATGTTTGAGGCCCGGGAGTTCCTCAGGAAGAAGCTCATTGGGAAAAAGGTAAGAACCACTCACTGATTTTAAAGCTCCAATTTTATTTTTTATTTTTTGCTCTCCGGTAAATGAATGACTGATTTCTTTTTATCGCGCTTTTGGAATTCTGTAATAGTTGTAGATAAAAATATGCAATTTGACTGTAAGTGCTCCCTGCACCTTTCTCATTGACAGACAAATGTATTTCAGAGCTGGATATCTATTTCCTCTGTGTCTGCGTGTGAATACTAAGTGCTCATGGAAGATGTCCTGGGGCTTAGTGTTGGCCTGGATGCACCCTTTAAACAAGCAGTCTTGATTTCCCCCTCTTGTGTATATTGATCTACTTGGTTTGTACACCTGGGGGGCTGCTGTGATTTACTCACATCTGACCTGTTAGAGCTTAGCAGAGGGTTAAACGCTCTTCTAGATGCATAGCAGGATTTTAGATTTCCAGCTTAGCTTTTCTTCTAGTATGTATGCCACAACTGAATGCAAGCTGATTGTGGAAACTGAAATACAAAAAAACAACTTGTTTGGAAATGATACAACTTTGGGGGTAGGTTGAGTTTATGACTCTGGATAAATTGTTTTTTTTTACTTTTGCCAAAAACAGACGGGCATGTATCATGAGAACAAGAAGTGCATAAAGATTAGTGTAGAAATAAAGTTTGTATTGATGGAAAACTGCCAAGATGGTCTTTGCGATCACAATAAAATCTCATAAATGTAAAACATCAAATTTTTTTGAAGCAGAAAGAAAACAAATGGAACAGTTTTAAAGTTGAATCTGTATTTTAGTTTGACTGAGAATGTACAATACCAGCATATTGATGACTGATCTCCAACAACCCTGATAGTAGATGGAGCAAGCAGTTCACTCACACTTTCATAACAGTACAACCGAGGCTGTTAAACAAAAACAGGCACCCACTCAAAGTCAAAAGCCAGAAGAGTTCCTTCTGGCTCTCTGTATGGGAGTGAGATTCATATCCCTGTCCCAGCTTCTCATCACAGACATTTTAATCCTCCTCATTAATGTTTTTTTAATGACAGAAAATTCAGCCCTGAGCTGGTTTTCATCAACTGAAGCGAAAATAATGATTTTGTTTGTTAGGTTTGTGTTCCAAAAATAATAGAGTACATGCAGTAGAAACTTGGAAACTGAAGCCATGCTTTGGTGCGAGTAGATCTGCCAGCACTGAATTACAACAGTATTCATGTTGGCTTCTTTTATGATCATCTTAAACACTACAAGAAAAACTTGTACATTTATTTCGACTTGATTTCAGAAATCTTCAGCTTTAAAGTACTTTTTAAAAGCAAAAGCATCCAGCTTTGAACAGATACAGTAAATATTGTTAGCAATAGGCTCAATGCTTGTGCTCTGAGGTTTAGCGTTTTCAAATTAGCTGTACGTTCATGTATAATTTGTTATTCGTCTCCATATATCTTGCTTTGACTTGCGAGCTGCTAAAGTTAACTTGGCTTAATTGTTCCTGCGCTGTAAGAAAAGCCTCAAGCAAATTGCTGTTTGTGTTGTTTATTGTAGTGGGAGCTCTGCATAATTGTTTGCATTGAAAAGAGTTAACTCCTTAAGTGTGTTGGCTTGTTTTCACTGGAGTGAGTCAGTGGGTCTGTTTGCATTGTATATTGGAATGCATCAAACCACATTGGAACAATTCAGAGCTTGTTTATATATACAAGCACACCTTGTGTCTGTAGAGATTTCTATCAGCCTTGAAAGGAGATTGTTATGTCTTAATGTAAAACAGCCTGAATGTTAATGCAACTCTTACCCCTGAATTATATGTTTTAAACTGAATTAGAGCAGCAGAACTCGGACACCATGCTGAAGAGAAATTTGCATTCTCTGTCACGCTCTCAATCTAGAAATGTGCTTTTCTTCTATAAATCTTCTCACTTCTCATTTGCCTTATTTCTATCATTATTACAACACTGCAGTTAATTTACAGGCACTAAAAGTTGGGTTATATTTTTTGTTTCTTTATAAAAAAGGTTCAAATTTGATTAACTTCACATTTCCTTCAAAAAAATAAGTGTGACGTCAACACTATCCAGTATTAACACATTATACTGTATAGTTTGTAATTATTTGTCTATAGAAATGTTAGTATTTAAATTGAAACTCGTGTTGAAAGGGGAAAATTATTACTCCCATGTCACAGGAACACAACTGCACTATGAGAACAAGAAAAAAAGATTGCATAGACGGGCTCCCCACAAGGTCTGCAATCAGCCAGCAAATAACCAACACACAAACATCCCAGTCATGCTGTCATAGCAACTGCTAAAAAGTTAGCGATGCCAGCATGAATTGTAACTCAAGCTTCTTTTGAAATTTTCTGATTCTTAACCAAAAGTCGAAGCTTAGAAGTAAAGGCCTTCAGCCGTATGCATCTCTTTGCAATGTAGTCTAAATTAAAAACCACATTTGGGGCACAGAGATACTGGATTAAATGATGATTCACTGATTCATAATATGAGATATTTTAGATTCTCTATATTTCTAAAGAAATGTAAATCCCTTTATTGTCCCACAATTGGGAAATCTCTGCATTTTGACCCATCGCCTTGGGGAGCAGTGGGCTGCCATTGTGTGGCGCCTGGGGAGCAGTATGGGCTTAATAACTTCAAGGAAGCCACATTATTTTTGATAAATCCTTAAAATGTCCTTCCCAGCATTACTGTTACCCACTCAGGCAACATTAAGCTCAAACTTTAGGCTTTGTTATTTAAAATGAAAAGAAAGGGAAATATTTTAAAGTAAAAACTGGAAACATTTTAGCAGTTTGGCTGTTTAACTAGCTTCTTATCAGGCATGAGAAACTATTTGAGATGTAATTACTTTGATCCCTTTGCAGCAAAAATGAGGTTCGAATTTTCTTTAGTTTAAACCGGTTAAAAATTGGAGTTTACTTTTAATTGTAATTTTTACCTAATTGTGTAAAGCATTGAAGTAGAATCAGGAAATATTTGGCTTATAAGGGTCTGAATTTTGATATGTTCAGGTTTCACTGCAGGGCTTAAAATTTTATATTTCAATTTTAGGTTTCAGCTATGCCACAATTTACTATACAAGCTGTCTTACAATACAATACATTCGTTTTAAATGCACCTTTAAAGCTAACTCAAGTATTAGTTTTACACAGAGAGCAATACATGATGCAGCACTTAAATGATTTTGATGATTCAGAAACCTCAAAAGTTTCTGAAGATTCAAGCTCTCCTGCATGCATATCTCTATATGTTGCTCCACATTTGATTAATATTGATGCTTGATCTTCCAAGTATGCTGGTGTTTTTTTTCCTGTTTGAAGTCGGGTTCAAGTGGAGAGCTGTCCATTTTCCAGCGGCACTGCTTCCTCCCTTCTTACGCTGCAAGATCAATAAAAGGAAGGGGCTCTGGGAAGTTGCTTCTCTTCTATTCCTTTTTGTTGCCAAGATACAAGACTAAAGCTCTGATTTAAACCTTCTGTCACCATATATCATTTTTTTTGAAAATAATTTAACAAGTCTGGAAAAAGCTGTGGGCTTTAGCTGCCTTGGCAACAAGAATGATTTAGTTTGGATAAAATGAAATCTCTGTTGTGAATGTTTGAAAGTTCGGTACTCGAGCATGAAGTCTTTCATAATGATCTGTTGCACCTTGGCCTTGATAGCTTGTCATTTTGAATGCGGCATACCCTGTTGTGTGCAGGAACATGTTGCATGTCAACAAACAGAACAATTTAGTTGACCCACTTACTTTATTGTCAGATTCTTTTGAGAGTCTAAGCTATTTGAAAGAAGGTCCAGGCTTTTATGTATCAGTAATGAAATTAATAACAGTCTGTGGCTTTATCTGAATCTACATCATAAATGTTCAAAAACAGATGCCAGATGAACAGTCATGCTGTGTGAGAACACTGTGGACTTACGCTAGCATGTCTCATAGCTGTTGTGATTGGGGATTTCATAAGCCTAGATTTATTTTTACATTTGATTTAAAAGACAGGTGACAGAAATGTAGTAAAGCTAATTGGCAATGTTCAACTAGCAAACATTCTCATTTGAAGCCTGGTAGCTGTGTGAGAACACAAGCATGTCATGATGTAAGAAATGGGCATATTTTTCACCTACAAAACCTTCTCTGACATGATTGAGCAATAACTGCCACTCCCAGTGATCTAAATCTTAAAGCCCAACTGCAACTGGTGATTTAGGGGAATGGAGCTATGCTAAATTCCTTTTTTTCTATGAAAGCACCCCATTTCTTTATTCACAAGGGGAGCTTTGTGCATTTTTTTTTTATAAAGAATATCTAATATCAATTTTCAGAGGGCTTTTATTTTAATTTTTTGGCAGGAGAACTCTATAGTAAACTGCTTTGTGAACAAAAAAGGTGGCTCACATCTGGACTGGTCTTTGAAAGGAGCTTTAGGGTAAATGTAGTGTTATCATTCCAACAATTTTTCCATATTATTACTAAATTAAGTCCTAATTTCCAGTAATTTCATAGCTAATAAAGATTGTTTTCTGACATTCTGCCTTTTACCATCATAAAAAGAAAAACTTTTATGTCCAAAATCCTCTTCTAAGTTATCATTTTACAAAAAAAAAAAAAAAAAAAAAAAGGCAGTGAGGCATCACCTTATTTCCCTTTTCTCCCTGTCAGTCCAGCTCTGTCTGTCTCAGGCTTTCTTATATCCATCCCCACCCGCATTGAAATGGCAGCGCTTGCATGGTGACATAATCCCAAAAAGCTAGATTTGGCTAACTTTCTAAGTAGTGCTTCTTGCACGCCTGGGTCTCAGCTTCATCAGGAAAAAAAGTCAAATGGAAATGTTGCATTAAGCCACTTATCAGGGTTGAGCACATTTGGATAATCCTGCATGCTCAAAGTGGCTCCTGTTATGCAGCTGCTTGTGTAGCACTGTTAGCAACAGAATTTTTTGCCTTTTTATTGGCGGGCATATAAGTGAGTGAATGTCTTATGTGTGGTTGGGTATTTGATATAGACTGGG